GATCAGGCGCTGATTGGATAGGAAATTAGCCAATCAGCGCGCAGCAACGTAGTCATGCTATAATTCCATCAATGTCCCACTAACATTCTGAATTCCTCATCACCTCTATCCTTCTCTTCGCAAATTTATTTCAATGGATTATACTTCTTGAATAATATCTTCGAACCCTAATCTCTCCGATTACTGCTAATACTTTTACTACCTCTACTACTATAGGATTTAAAATGACCATTGCGTCTCTGTACTAATTTGCTATGACAACCTGAACTGATGTACATATGTACGAAGTTCTACGTTGTAACCAACTGACTGACTGACTTGATAATGATTTACACTTTTTAATTTGATCATTCAAAACACTAAACTCTAGAAAATCACTTAAAAATCTAATTATGATAGTTGTAATATCTCAGCAAGTAGAAAATTAAATTTTCTGGTCTTTTATGATTAGATATGAAGTACTTTTACAAATAAATAAATCTAATTATCTTAAATTACATTGTTTTAGTGAAATGATTTTTCTGGTAATGTGAGGAATTTTTGTGAAGATTTTACTATTTTCCTAATTGAAATCACGAACTGATCATCCACTTAATAACAATCATGTGCTCACTAGTGATCAGCATCAAGATGAATTCCTAAAGTCATGACCAGTGGTGTTTAATCTCTATCAGCAAGGAGATGAAGCTTGCGCAACATTATGGATTGATTGAAACTAGACACTAACACCATTTGGATGACGACTCAGTTGTGTTGTAGTGAACGAGAACACAGGTGGGGCAACCGGATTGTATTTAACGAAAATTACAGAGTTACTCAGTAAAATCGGAAAACCATATCATAAATTGTTAATTTGCAAAATATCAGTTCATCATATTGAACTGGACTGTTCCTGTTGCAAAACATCAATCCATTGTCACTATTTATGCGTTTCATACAAATTCCATTGTATTCTAACTCTTCCTTTCTTGATCTTCCCCCATCTTCTGCTGCCAGACATTACGTTGACACTCACGTCATATACTACTTATAAGTAGCTCGCACCACAGTGTATGCGATACTAAAGGTCCTAGGCTTGATTCCTGTGTAAAGAAGACGTTATGGATACGTACTAACTATTAAGGAGTTCCAAACTGAGACGAAACAGCCTACTAGTGCTTCCAGATTTCTAATGATGACCTAGCTATAGATCAGTTCGTGATTTCAATTGTGAAAATAATCTTTTCCTTTCACATTTTATATACTTTTCTCTTTGTATTCTTATGTATTCAGTTTAGCAAAGAAATATCTACAGTTAAAAGTTCACTTACGTTTATTGATGTGTAGTAAGTTGAACCACTTAAAAAATACATGTTACAATTTTTATATAAAATTACTTCATCTTTTTTGTTGAAAAAATAATGCAGAAAGAAATAGAAAAAAAAATGATCAAGTTTTAAGTTCATTTATTATTTATTAATTAACCTGATAAATAGAAAGTAGTATAGTATACACCTCTCATGTGTGTGTATATCTATCTCTGTATTCAATATTCACTGGATGACATCATTTTTATGATAATTTATTGATAAAATAATCTTGTTTGTCTGTTTGTTTGTTATAGGGTTACCGTTAAAAAAAAAAACGATTCTTCAACTCTGACACTCTGATTTGCATTTAAACTATACAACATCACAGCATACATAAATTTGTACTGTAAAAAAATGCTACTTAGTTTAACTACGTGTAAAATAAGGTGAAGTAAAACTATCATTATAATATCAACTAATAGTAAACAAGTATATATTGACATTTGGACTGAGTCAAGTTGTTAAGTGTAGACTACCTGGTTAGGATCCGCGATACGAAAGTGATCGATGGTTCAAAATCACTTGCAATGGCGCAGATGCATCCAGTCTTTGTGTTCTATGAAATTCTAATCCTCTGAATTCTCCATCACCTTTGCCTTTCTCTTCATAAAGTTATCTTACTTCTTGAATAATTTCTTGGAGCCCTAATCTTTTCCGTTACCGTTAATACTTTTATCTCTACCACTATGGAATTTGAACTGACAATTACATCTCTGTGTTAATGTAGTATGGCAATCTGAACTGAAGTACGTACGTATGAAGTTCTACGTTTTAACTGACTAGCTGATTGATATATCGTCATACGGCCGAAAGTTTGTAGTTTGTAGCTGTAGGGAAATCTTATTCACTAGATTCACAACATAGCCCAACCTTAGCTGCTACCTTGACGTAATGGCCGAGCTTGACTATCATGATAACCCAAATTAGCTATATTGGTTGGAACATATGTTCCTGAAGGTTCTACCATGCTAAGCAGGTCGTTCGGAGAACAAAGAGAATAAAAGCAGCAAATTAAGATATGAGGGTGAAGTCGTACTGTTCAGTGTAGAGGGGAGTGATGGCAGTAATGTGCTCCCATCGGACAACCAACATCCGCAGAGATGCTGCCTTCTCAGAAGGAAGGAATGGGTTCGAAAAGATCGACCCTAAAAATATCACATCACACCTTATCCCACGGATTTCTGTCTATACTGACCACCGGCAGTGATGGGCCTGCACCTATTACGTTGTGTATTAGATTTTGAGATAAGAAACTAAGAAATTAGTAGATAGGTGAAACATCCAATTCCTTTTGACAGCCTTAATAATATTACTACAGTTCTGATTATTTTCAACATTGAAAATAAGCATAATGAACAATTTATCGTAAACTTGAATTTATCCTGTTAATCTTTTAGGTCAATGTGACAATTTACTATTCTTTCTAAACTATGTAAATTTTCTCTCTCCTTCATGTACTGACCTTTACTTATAATTGACCTTTTATTAATCTGCATATAAAATGTCTTGACAAGTGTGATATGTGTAACTAGATTGTTCGAAATATACGCAATTATATGACCTACGTTGAGATGAATTCTGTCTTCTCTAGTGTTTTTACACATTTGAAATCATCAATTGATCATTGTTAGACCACCATTAGAAACCTAGAAACACTAGACGGCCGTTTCGTCCTGGTGTGGGACTCATCAGCAGTGCGCATCCACGACTCCTGCACCTCGCAGGATACGAACCCGGGACCTTTGGCATTGTAGGCGAACGCCTTACCATCGGACCACTGGGCCGGCATCCAACGGTATTAATGTCTAACTCTGATTGATCTAGGGTTATTTTACTGCTTTATAAGTGTTAACTGTATCATTTCATTTGCTGTTTTTACGCATAGATGTTGGTGTGTCAACTATCAAATCCATAATTAAGCTCTGACTGGTTATTAGTGTGAAGAAACAAACATATGCAAAATTCACTCTACTTCTAGCCCAATTCTTCATGGTGTTTGCATTATGTGTTGATAAACGCCTTTTTTTAAAATCTAATCTAGTTAGTTCTTGCGTTTTTTGATGGATAAGTGTGTGTATTGCGTGAATAATTATTGTGATTTAATGTGTAGTGTAGGATCGTGGAAAAATTAAATTCACAATTTATGTTATCACAGATACAACTTATACTTGAATGCTTAGAAGATCTTTCAACCGGTTTGTGATCCTCACTAACTTGTCTACTCTAGAACCCTGAAAATAAAGCGGAAATTTGAAATTTTCCATTCACCTAGAGAAATGCGAATATTTTTAATCAAACATCTACGTGCGGATCTGAGAAGCAATCTGATTTTCTCAGGTTTTCTGTCTCCAAGCTTCAGATAAGGATTGGTTGATTATAGAGGCTAATATTTTAAACACTATTGATCAAAATGATTCTTATGTGATTATCACGACAGGATCAGAATTTCTCCTCACAAGTTCGATCGATCAGTGATCTAAACAACATGGGATTATGTCAAATTTCCACATATTAACTAGTATCTCTGGTAAGTATTGTTCCCCTAGAACAACATTATTAGGGGTAACTTGATAAGATGTTATAGACCTGTAAATAACTTGACTGGTAACATTATCCTATCAGCCTTTCAAACACAGCCGACTTAATTGTTCATGAACCGTTCAAGTTAGCCATATAACTGCAGGTAAGATGGGGAGATTTGAAATGATTAATCCTGTTCTGTCAGCTAAACTGCTTGAATAATTATGAAATGCATTGAAAGTCATTTTCAGTCAATGATATTTTTGGTACTATGAAACAGCTAAACAGATCGGATAATTTGTTGATCATTGCTACGAATGTTCGATTCGACATATCCTATTTCCAATCAACTTTTAAAACAACGAATCTACGTTTTGAAATACAGCTTGAACACTAAACGAAGTATAGTTCCACACACATATGTGTTTTAGATTACTAAGTCGCAATTAAATGATTTTAATTCAATCCCGCATGATATGCTTAAGTGTAACGATACAATCCCGCAATTTCTTCATGCATATCACCTAACAAAAATTAAATTTCCACGAACATACTGTCGTTCATTCATCGCGATTGGTAGATGTAGGCTATCTGGTTGGGGTCCGTGAGATGAAAGTCACCAATGGTTAGAGACCTTGAATGATATGGTTCAGAATCGTTTGCAATGGCGCAGGTGTATCCACTCTTTGTGTTCTCTGAAATTCTAACCTTCTGCATTCCTCATAATCTCTATCTTTCTCCTTCTAAATTTATCTCACTGAATTATACTTCTCGAATAATATCTTCGCTCCCTAATCTTCTCGATTGCTGCTAATACTTCTACTATCGCTATCACTCTTGGATTTGAACTGACAGTTACGTCTCTGTGCTGACATGGTATGGCAACCTGAACTGATGTATACTTATGTACGAAGTTCTGCGTTGTATCTGCCTGTCTGTCTGCAGTTGTCTATATTTTATGTCACCAATAGTATATGTTAATGAATTCAGCCTCTAAAGTACTACTAAACTAATATGCCAGTGAGTCGCCATTTATAATCCTAACCTATAATTGGAACAACTAAAAAAATGGGAATTTGAAAAATAATTTATAACAGAATAAAATTTATAACGCGGCACAAAATTACTTACTTGTAAATTTCGTTCAATTAAATATTCAATTTCAAAATCATCAACATCTTCACCAAATGGATTGATTAACGATTCTGCTACCTGTTTGTTAAAATAAAATATAAACTTTATGTGAAATGAAATTGTAAGGATACTTCAACATAGTAAGTAAAACTTTGATTATTTGGTAGGAAACACTGTATTACGCCATTATAGAGTAAACATGACAATGTAAAACATGGTGGAAACTTATCGAATATATCGCGTAGGGGAGATATCCGTTCGCTGACTAAAGGACCAGTGTACTGTACAGTAGTTCGCTCCGTCTTATTTTATGGCTGTGAAACATGGCCAGTGAGAGTAGAAGATATTCGTCGGTTATTGGTTTTCGATCATAGGTGTCTTATAAGCACTGCTCGTATATTCAGGGACACCTGAGTGAGCAACGCTGTTATTAGGAATCGGGTGCTAGGTAAGAATGGCAGATCAATAGATGAAGTGGTGAAACTTCATGAGTTGAGGTGGTTGGGACATGTGCTGCCTAACCACCGACTGCCTCGACGAGTGTAGGAATAGGTTGGAAGAAAGTTAGGGGTGGCCAAACCAAAACATGGCATAAATCCATGAAGTCATTGACGAATGGACTGAGCCAAGTCGGTAGTTGTCAACTACCTGGTTGGGGTCCGCGAGATGATAATTATCGATGGTTAGAGACCTTGAGTGACATGGCTCAAAATCGTTCGCAATGGCGCAGGTGCATTTATTCTTTGTGTTCTCTCAAATGCTAATCTTCTGGATTCTTCAACACCTCTTCGTTTGTCTTTCTAAACTTGTGTCACTGAATCATACTTCTTGAATAATATCTTCTAATCCTAACCTCTCCGATTACTGCTAATACCTTTACTACATTTTCTACCATTGGATTTGAATTGACAATTACATCTCTGTGCTGATGTGGTATGGCAACATGAACTGATGTACTTACGTACGAAGTTCTGCGTTGTATCTGACTGACTGACTGACTAGATTTTAAATAAAGCCGGGGACGGCCAAAAAAATAGGGCACAAATTCCATGCAGTCACGGACAAGTGGACTGAGTCATGTTGGTAAACGTAGACTACCCAGTTGGGATCGGTGAGATGATAGTCACCGATGGTTAGAGACCCGGAATGACATGGATTAAAATTGTTTGTAATGGCGCAGGTGCATCCACTATTTGTGTTCTCTCAAATCCTAATCCTCTGGATTCTTCACTAGATTATATTTATTGAATAATATCGTCAAACCCTAAACTTTCCGATTACTGATAATGCTTCTACTTCCTTTACTACTATTGGATTGGAATTGAGAATCGCGTCTCTGTGCTAATGTGGTACGACAAACTGAACTTAACGTACAAAGTTCTACGCTGCGATTCACTGATTGAAATAACACATGAATCAATGTTTTTAGTCGGTTTTTCTTTGTTCATAACGAAACTTAAAATCGAATCACGACGTTATTAGTAATTTAGTGAGTAGGATTTAAACTGGTGGCATAGAGATGCTAAAATATATCACGAACTCCATACACAGCTTATTGATATAATCTTTAAAACTTCAACTGGAAAACTTTTAAATAAATTCATCCACAAAAATTTTGTAGATAATTAGGAATTTTCTGTAAAACTATTAATCACTATTAAAAAAATGATTCGGAAAGAAACCGATTCGCACTCATCGTTTATATTAAGTTTCATTTATATCCTGAACCAATCAAAGTTAGACTATCATAAGAAACCTGGAAGTATTGGGTCATTTGATTGTAGCATGGGACTCCTTATCAATGCATATTTTCACAAGTAGTATGCAGAAGAGCCTTGCTTAGAAGTTTCTGAAGTTGATAACTAAAGACACAATTTTCAAATGTATTCTGGAAACTTGGAGACTAGAACGGAAGTGAGAGAAGACCGACTATCACCACGTTGGATTGCAGTACATGCAAATAGACGACGATTGAAAACTATGTGTATGTATTTTGTAAACACAAACTGTGTTTTCTCTAAATATATGTATCGTTTATCTTGCTTTGGCTTTTTCTTATATAACACTAAGAACTTTGGTTTCTTCTGCAAACGCTTAAAATCTGGTGCACTAAGCATGCATCCAACGCTGTTCGTATTTAACTTCAATCAATCCAAAGTTCGTTGTGTACCAGAATGAAGATTAAAGATCTGATAGCTTGAGACTATTTTATAGATTATTATTATTATATATATTCCTACTGGATAATTTCTAAGTGACTGAATTACCATGTTCATATATTCTATTAACGGTAAGCTTCTCTTCAACTCATTATCTATTACTATCCTGTTTATTGTTTCTGTTGGGGATGTTAGATCCCCAGAACTCACTTAATAAAGGTCCTAATTTTGGATTTTATGTTATGCCGCATGGGTTGATCACTTGACCTTGAGATTACAGTTCCCGACCGGAAAATCCTTGACTGTTATTGGTTGATGTAGTATCTTAGTTTGCTATTTTTGTGGTTCTCCAAAGGACGTTTCTCTCATGTATAAATATACTCGATTTGTGTGCCTGTTAACCTCGATTTTCTAGGTGCTTGTAGAATACACTTTCTACGCCGTATCAAAACATTTTGATATCGTTAGCAGGGCTGGGGACAATCGAATTGGAATAGCCTATCGTGTCACTGAATCATTTGTTTTCGCTCTTGTTTATCGACTAAGGTGAACTCGTAATAGTTCAAGCATATCAACTGACGAGCATAACAGTTTCCAACCGAATGCCAATGAATTTCTTACAATTTCTTCTATTCACAGACACCTTTAGCTTGTTAATCTATAATTGTAATCTTTTATTTCATGGTGTGATATGGGTTTAGTATGCGTGTATATAAATCCACATGTGCTTTAAGTATGATGTAGTAGAGGCTGACTGTTTACTTTTCTTTGGATAGAGAAAAGTTTGTAGATGCTGTGCCTATAAGCGCTTAGTTTACATCGGTTCAAGGTTATCTGTGAAGGTCAAATCTAGGATACTGAAAACTACGGAAGAAACAGTAAACACCAGACAGAAAACAATTATAATTCGAATGATAATGTTTAATAAATAATGTTACAATATGATATTTAATCAATATTTTAAAACACAAAAACACAACAACAAACTAACCTTCAACCATCCAATATAAAAGAAGAAACGCAATAAGCCGAAAATTGGCACATAAAAATCCACATCATGACCTTCATAATTTTTCGATGGGTCTAAATACTGCCATGCAAGTAAACATGTACCAAAATAACCATATACAGCAATGGTTACAGTCTAAAGATTACCAAGGGGAGATAAAATAGGTAATGAGTAATCATATAATGATGGCATTAAAGAAAAGAATTACAGTGAACAGTTTTACATGAATACCGTAACACTGATTAGTTGAACTACATACATCAGTCAGTTGCAACGTAGAACTACGTACGTATGTACATACGTTCATGTTGCCATACCACATTAGCACAAAGACGCAGATGTCAAATCAAATCCCATAGTTATAAAGATAGTAGAGGTATTAATGGTAATGAAGAAGACTAGGGAGCGAAGATATTATTCCAGAAGTATAATTCAGTGACATAAGGTTACAAAGACAAAGGTAGAGGTGCTGACGAATCCAGAAGATTAGGATCTGAGAGAGCTCAAAGAATGAATGCACTTGCGCCATTGCAGACGATTTTTGAGCCATATCGTTCAAGGTCTCTAACCACTGGTGACTTTCGTCTCGCGGACCACAACCAGGTAGTCTACATCTACCAACATCACACAGTCCACTTGTCAGTGACTTCGTGGATTTCTACCATGTTTTGGTCTGGCCGACCCTAACTTTCTTCCAACCTACTCCTACACCACAAAACATAGCTCGTCGAGGCAGTCGGTGGTTAAGCATACGCAACACATGTCCCAATCACCTCAACTCATGAAGTTTCACTACTTCATCTATTGATCTGCCACCCTTACCTAGTACTCGTTTCCTAACGATAGCATTGCTTACTCGGTTGTCCCACGATATACGAGCAATGCTTCTTAAACATCTATGATCGAATACTATTAACCTACGAATATCTTCTACTCTCACTGGCCATGTTTCACAGCCATAAAGTAAGACGGAGCGAACTGCTGAGCAGTACACCCGTCCTCTGCTTAGCGAACGAATATCACGCCTACGCAATAGGTGACGCAGGTTGGCAAAAGCCAATCGAGCCTTCTGTATCCGCGCTGAGATTTCGTCAGTCACCAGGCTATCAGCGCTGATGAGAATCCACAGATAAGTGAAGCGATCAACACGCTCGACTACTTCACTCCCTATCACTAGTTGAGATGTCGATGCAACCCAGTCTTGAAGCAACATACATACATACGTAAAAAGAGTAATTCATTGAAAACAAAAAGCATAAAATTTAGCAATGATGCTCAGGATAATTGATTGATTGGAGTGTGAGTTAGCCAACAAAAATTCCTTTTCTTCAATTAGCTATGTATATGATATGTAATCATATTTTCAGAAGTAATTATATGATATTCTGAAATAGTGAGCTAATCAAAAGTGGCCAATGGAGAAGACCAATTTGATGACCATGAGAATATGTCATAAAGGATGAATACATGTCATTTAGTCAATCAGTTAGTTAGTTAGCTACAACGTAGAAATTCGTACGTATACGTACATCAGTTCAAGTTGCCATAGCACATTATTACAGAGATGCAATTGTCAATGTTAAATCCTATAGTAGTAGAGGTAGTTACAAATATGAGCAATAATCGAAGAGATTAGGGTTTGAGGATATTATTCAAGAAGTAGAATCTAGTGAAATAAACTTGAAAATAAAAAGATAGAGATGATGGGGAATTTAGGAGATTAGAACTCTAGAGAACACAAAGAATGAATGCACCTACGCTACTGCAGACGGTTTCCAGCCATGTCATTCAGGGTCTCTAACTATCGATTACTATCATCCCGCAGACCCTAACCAAAATGACTCACTCCACTTGTCAGTAACTTCATGGATTTGTGTTACGTTTGGTTTGGCCGCCCTAGTTTTCTTCCAAGCGACTCCTACACCACAAAACATAGCTCGTCCAGGCAGTCGGTGGTCCTAACCATCACAACTGATTCAGATTCACTACTTCATCAATTGATGTGTCATCCTTACTTATTATTATTTTCCTAACAACAGCATTGCTTACTCAATTGTTCCAGGATATACAAGCAATGCTTCGAAGACACCTATAATCAAATACTAATAGCCTACGAATATCTTCTATTCATACTAGCCATATTTCACTACCATAAAGTAAGACTGTGATTGGTTAAAAAATGACTTCTTTCCCAAAATGGTGGATAGTACAACAAAAAATTATGCATACTACACTAATTCTATTTTTTTTCAAAAAAATCTTATTTTTAGATTTTTCCTGCGTAATATTTTTTTTTATAGCTGCGTCACGAGACAAGCCCTCACATGGAACCCTCAAGGCAAAAGGAAAAGAGGAAGGCCAAGGAACACATTACGCCGAGAAATAGGGATAGATATGAGAGGAATGAACAAACATTGGACAGAACTGGAGAAGGAAGCGCAGGACAGAGTTGGTTGAAGAAAACTGGTGGGCGGCCTATGCTCCGTTGGGGGTAACAGGCGTAAGTAAGTAAGTAAGTAAGTAATATTTTTTTATCAACTCATCTCATTAAATATGCATAAATTTTGGTAATATACATATAAGCAGAATTGTATGTATTTTTTTATGATGAAAGTCACGGTACTTTGTTAAAAGAAAAAGGTAAAATCAAATCTACTACCTGTTGTAATTTTTAATTCATTTTTTTCTATCTACTTCCACTTTCATGTTGTACCAGAAAAAAAAACAGAGTAGGAAAGAAGGTAAGTAAATAAGTAAGTTAGTAAGTGAGAAAACGATGAAATATCAATTGGTCTTAATGATTGCCGTTGTTATAATGTCACTTTGCAGCTATTCAAAATCGTACCGATTGACTAAATTCAGATATCCTAGTACGACCTCTAATTCTGTTCCCAAATCTCCAATATATCAGAACACAACACCGTTAGATGAAGTTGTTTACCAAGTCGAGTACAGAAGGAAGGAAGGCATGGAGGAATAATAAGCTTGACAGATAATCCATATTTATATAGTTAGGACGACCAATGGGAAACAATATTGAAGCCTGTGGACATTGACAGTCGGGACAACCAATGGGGAACAATACTTGAAGTCTATGGACATTGATAGTTAGGACGAGCATAATATTTTGACCAATAGGAATTGACCAATAGAATTAGACTTCTAAAAATAGTTAGTTCTCTTAAGATATAAATTGGATGAATATCCTAAAAGTAGTGCATTGAAGTTTGTTTTAGACAAAAAGAAAACAGTTGTCATAAAAAAATTTATAGAGAATAATTGATCACAAACAAACAATCAAAAAACCAATTAGAAAAAGGGATGACACAATGAATTTTTTGAGTTTGTAATGACGAGAACTAAAAACAAGCTTACTTTTTAACAATAAACAATAAGAAAACTATACTAATCTAGTCAGCATTATCGATGAGTAAAGTGGATTTCATGCAGATGTGAAGAAGCGGATCAGTAAAAGCAAGGACAGTATTTTTACAAGTGAACAACATTTGGAATTTAAAACAACCAGCAACCAAACATCACGTCTTACTTTATGGTTGTGAAAAATGGCCAGTAAGAGTAGAAGATACTGATAGGTTACTGGTTTTCGATCATAGGTGTCTTAGAAGCATTGCTCGTATATCCTGGGACAACCGAGTAAGCAACGTTGTTATTAGGAATCGGGTGCTAGGTAAGAATGGCAGATCAATCGATGAAGTGGTGAAACTTCATCAGTTGAGGTGGTTGGGAAATGTGTTACGTATGCCTAACCACCGACTGCCTCGAAGAGCTTTGTTTTGTAGTGTAGGAGTAGGTTGGAAGAAAGTTAGGGGTGGCCAGACCAAAATACGGCAGAAATCCATGAAGTCATTGACAAGTGGACTGAGCCATGTCGGTAATTGTCGACTACCAGGTTGGGGTCCGCGAGATGATAATAATCGATGGGTAGGGACACTGAATGACATGGCTCAGAATCGTTTACAATGGCGCCGGTGCATTTATTTTTTGTGTTCTCTCAAATCCTAATCTTCTGGATTCTTCAACACCTCTAGTTTTGACTTTCTAAACTTTTCTCATTTGATCATACTTCTTGAATAGTATCTTCTAATCCTAACCTCTCCGATTACTTCTAATACCCTTACTAACTCTTCTACTATTGGATTTGTATTGACAATTACATCTCTGTGCTGATGTGGTATGGCGACATGAACTGATGTACTTACGTACGAAGTTCTACGTTGCAACTGACTGACTGAAACATCAAAGTCAAAATTTTCAAAACAAATATCAAGACAGTTCTACTGTATGAAGCAGAAACTTGGGTAAAACTACCAAACATATCATCCAGAAGATAAAAGTATTTATTAACAGTTTTCTAGGCATACAAAATACTTCCGATAAGTTTACCAGACACTATCAGCACCAACCTATTGTGGAAGAGAGCAAAACCAGATTCCAGTAGAGGAAGAATCTCCGGAAGTGGATACGATACACACACATTATGCAAATCATCCAACTGTATCAAAAGGTAAGCGCTCATCACTTGGAACGCTCAAAGTCGGAAATTGTATACACAAAATTAAAAAAGGTTGTAATTGATCAAAAAACAAATGGAAACATAACAGAAAAACGATTACACAATGAATTTTTTTTCAACCTTCTAACGAGAACTTTAAAAACACAACACAACAAAACATAACAAACCGAGCTTACTTTTAAGCAATAAACAATAATATTGTGTGTCCAATTAGGACAATGGAAAATATTTCTTCATTAAAATATTATCTACTTCAAAGATTGTAATCATAATAATAATAATAATAATAATAATATAAAATAAAAAATAAAGTTGAACAGACTAATATTGTAAAATAGTGTAAATAGATAGTGTTATTGAAAACAAAAACAAAAAACTTAGTTATATCAACTTTAGATGAATCAGTTAGTCGGTCAGTCAGTCAGATGCAACGTAGAACTTCGTATGTAAGTACATCAGTTTAGGTTGTCACATCACACATTAGCACAGAGGTGTAATTGTCAATTCAAATCCAATAGCAGTAGAGTTAGTAAGGGTATTAGAAGTAATCGGAGAGGTTATGATTAGAAGATATTATTCAAGAAGTATAATTCAGTGAGAA